TGTGGATTTATTCATATAAATGAGCTATTGATATGTACAAATTGCTCTTGTTGATTATGCTGTGGGCTAATGACTGGATCACGTCCTCTTGTCTGGATGCTCGCAAAAGAAGTAAGTTCAACTATCTTTTTGGTTTATTGCGGTAGCCTATTAAATTGCTTTAGAAAAGCAATATTCCAATAACGGAATCAATTAGAAAGATAGGGGAAAGTTAACAGCCGTGATGTTAACGCAATGTTAAACATTAGGGATGTTCTATTTAGACGGAGGCCTTAACAGTGACCATCAAGTCAAGGTGCAGGAATGGTATTTTTGGAGATAGTAGTCGAGAGTTCTAGCTTTAATTTAAGCCAGGAAAGTTCTGTCACTTTTTGTTTTTTTGCTAGAGCTTCTAAAATATTGCAAAAAAATGGTATTTTGACAATGTGACCTCTTTTTTTCAAAAATTGGATCTGATGGAAACTTTATGCTTACGGATTCATAATCAGCATAAAAAAGTCTATCAAAAACAGCTTTAACATTTGCCATACCAAAATTTGTTTCAATTTTTGTTGGGCTTAGTTATCCATTAAAAATGAGCAAAAATTCAGATTTCCGTTTTTTCTGCAGAAATTTTTCCTTACCTATTCAGTTATATATATAGTTATGTCTGGTCACCTTAACCACTTACTATCATTCCTACGCGTATTAACATCGCGTATCCGTTTATGCTTCTATGTTTATCACACATACTTCCCACACTTTAGTAGATATACTCCAATTGTCATTGAATAGTTCTAAGCAGTATCGTTTGTAAGGTCAATAAATGAAGTACTTGTTACCGAAACGACTTACTCTTTTTACTTCTTAATTGGCGCAGTCGACGCGAACTAACACGAGAAGAAAAAGCTCATACCACGTGCTTAATACCATAATTAGTTTGTTAAAATTAATTACTATCTAAATAAAACCCACCCGGTATTGAACGTTGAACGTTTTCTTTTCATTGTGAAAAAAGGGAAAAAATTATTATCTAAATTAGCGAGTGATTAAGGTACAACAATCGTGTACAAAACTTGTCACATTTAAACTTTAACATGAACAAAACACAAATTTCATTGGTGTAATACTAATTAAAAAAAAAAATAATAATAATAATCAAATAACAATTGAAGCTGTCTTCTCAGTGTAAAAACAGATGCAGTGTTCTATAATATATTACGCATTAACTAGTTATAACTTTACAACCAGAACCGCAACAAAAATACTACAAAGACAAATAGAACAGTTATACTTGCACAAAAACTAAAATTAAAATCAATGAAATAAATTAGCAAGAGCAGAACCACGTGCATTGTTACAGGCTAACCTAATATTCACGCACGCCGCCAATTTATTGTCAAAAATTTCTCATGCACATGCAACTTGTATGAGATCAACCGAAATTGAACGGCGTGCGTATGAAGCTAACTCAATTTCCAATTTTTGTTCTGCGTGACATTTTGATTTGACGTTTCGCTCAATGAAATCAAATGCAAACGCTTGCAAGTCAATTTCGGGTGACGCAAAAAAACAAATTCGACCGCATGCGTACCAAAACGCAAGCCGCGAATATTAGGTTAGCCTGTTACGTAGTATAGCGTAGCAGTTACAAAAACACAACAAAAAAACACGCGAAGGCAGTCGAGTAGACGAAAAGCAGCTTCACCAACAAGAAACAATAGAACAAGAAATAGCAGAAAAATACTGGGAGAATCACGACGAATTGAAAGGAACGAGTACAATGGAAGACCTTGAGGCTAATTCCAGATTTAAAATTATTTCTTCTACCTTAAGTAGCATATCAACCTTTGATGGCGATGGAAACTCACTGATAAATTTTATTGAGCGAATCGATTCTATGGCTCCTATTCTAGATTCGTTCGATACTATTTATAAACAACTAGCAGACCCGGCGAACTTCGTCCCGCCCAAAATTAATTTTTTTATTGAAATATTTGGTCCAACGTTTTCGCCAGCCACTCAAGTTTGTTTGGTTTTGTGGTCGACAGAAGGCACATCCCCATTGCCGTCTTAAATAACCTGACGAAGGCGTTATACCGGGAAGAAATCCTTGCGGCTCGATAGTGAATCGTCCTTGAATCTGTATAGTATAGTTGGTGGCAATTTACAAACTGGTGAGTATCATTGGTCCACATTCTGTTTAGTCACCGTAAAGCAAGGACCGCAATGGTTCTGATGGTTGATTTAACGGGAGTAATTTAACTTTGATCCCTGTGCCTCCGAATCGACAATTTTTAGCAATAACTCGTTTCCAGCGCCACTAAAAATTATCATTAAAATCGTTTCGGTCATTTAGAAGGAGTTAAGCTACCAGAATAAGTCTTTTACTTACTGACACTCTTCGGCATTTTTTCCCATACAAAAAAACTCTCACGCATTCGTTATACGGAGAAAATGCGCAACATTATCAGCGAAAAAAATTCTCAAAAATCAACGGTATCTTATAGCCATTAAAAACTTGCACTTATGATACTGAAATTGAGTGAACTACAAAACTGCATACTCAACATTTGGTACAAAAAAAATTATTACGAAAAAGAAAAAAAAAACACTGTATTCTGGGTGTATATATTTACTGATAGGTAAAAGTTTCAATATGTTTGGAAAGCACCACTTCCCTTTTCCAGTAGCCCCAAAATCTCTATACCAATTTCCAGGACATTACCACAAATACTTTCAGAGATATACGGTATGAAAAATTCGATATGCATGGGTGATGCCACGCTCCCTTAATATATCCAAAGTCTGCAGTAGGTGTCCAAAATTTAAAAAAATCGGTACAGCCGTTCGCGAGATCACCTCTTTATATAATTAGTGTAAGTAACACAGGGCAACACCGATTTTGATGCGGCAAATGTTGAAGCTGGTTTTAATAGGCTTTTTTTTGCTGATTAAGAATACGTAAGTATAATGTTTTCATCAGTTCCAGATTTTGAGAAAAATGTGGTGAAAGTGTAAAAAAATCGCGTTTTTTGCAATATTTGAGAAGGTCTAGCAATGAAACAAAAGGTGATAGAACCTTCCTTTCAGGCTTAAATTAAGGCTTTGACTTCTGACTTCAATCCCTAAAAATACCATTCCTGCACCTTGACCCTGAGGTTACCTATAGTCATTTATTTAACAGCTAACACTGATTTTTACACCATTTTTGAAGATAAAAAGTAAATGAGTATAGGTGACCATTAGGGCAAGGCGCAGGAATAGTACTTTCAGGGATGGTAGTCTGTAGTTCTAGCTTTAATTTAAGCCTACGTGAAAGGTTCTATCACCTTTTGCTTGATTGCGGTAGGAACTCAAACTCCCCGAAATCAGTTATTCCTGTTCAACAAATGACTATAAGGGCTGGTTTCTCCAACTCAACTTAATTAAGCCAATTTTTTCGACCCAGTCAAGAAGTAAGCTGTGTAAAACGTAGGCTAACTTTTGACTAAAGTCCAAAAGTGGCTAAACTAAGTTAGGTTGAGTTGGAGAAACCAGCCCTAAGTGACCATCAAGCAAAGGTGCGGAAACTTGCTTTAATCAAAGCCTAAGTGGAAGGTTCTACGACCCTTTGTTTCTTTGCTAGAGCTTCTCAAATTTGCAAAAAACTTGATTTTTTTCTAAAAATCTGGAGCTGATGGTAACTTTTTGCTTACGGATTCGCAATCAACACAAAAAAATCTGTCAAAAATAGCGTTCACATTTGCTGCATCAAATATTTTTCCATTTTTGTTGGCCTGTGTAATAAGTATTGTTAAATAGCCAATACCCGCATGTTTGCGGCGCCTTCAACCAAACACCTTTCGAACTGTAAAACAATGAATCGATTCGATTGAAGATTTTTTGGAATTGATCGGTTCTGGTCCACCTATCAGAAAAAATATCATATATGTTAACCCAGCCAATAAGCTACCTACGTGCTAAATTGCAAGCAAATCGAACCATTAATAAGACTGTTTCGAATAGTTCGGTCTCTGACACACTTAACGGAAAAAATGAATCCTATATGCTAATCTAGGCAAAATGCTACCAACTGCATTTTTTAAGCATAGCTCGACCCCTTCGCCAACTATCGGAAAAATTAAAACTTTGTGCACTCCTTCTTCTAAACACATTTACAAAAAAGCAGTACCCATTCGAATCAGTTATGAAACATAGGAGAAAATTGTTCCCAATTGATTCAAGCTCCCAATGAATTTCACAATTATCCTAAATTTTCCAAGCTTTCGTCGAAACAAATTTTTGCGTTCTTCCGGATTTTTCCGTGTTTTCCACTTACGGCCATATTATTGACTTGTCGTTATTCCATCGTACTCAACGGTTTAGTTATTCTGGGCAATTCTGAGCGACGGCGGAATAACTTTTTTGTCAATTATTCACTATGGAATAGCGGCGAATAACTTTCCGGCAGAGGAATAAATATTTATTCCAATAGATTTTCCGAAGAGAGGAATTGACATTCGGAGTGTCAAAATATTATAAAATTTTTGAATAAATTGCTTAATTATTTTTGTGTTGTGGTTTTGTTAACAATTTTAATTTGCGATTTTGTGTGCTATGAACGAAAATAAAGAAAAAGTCGCGAGTTCCTCGAGCACGGAGATCTGCGAATTGGTCGGCGGAGGAGACGTTGCGCTTTGTGCGCGCACTTGTTGATGTCGGTCGCGATGGCATTTTAAATCAGGCGACAAACGGTTGCACGCCAGAGCAACGGGCCCAGGAGTATCGGAAAATCGCGAATATATTGAACGCCGAGCGCGCTTCTACGGTTTTTATTTTTTCATTATTTAAAATTTATTTTAAATGGCGTTAAATATTTTTTCTTTCAGGGAATTGTTCGCGAACCACTACATCTGCAGAATCGGTTCAAGCAAATAAAGCAGTATTTGCAGACATATTCGACATGGCAGCGGCAAGTTTCAATGGGAACTGGTGGCGGACTTGCGAAACCCATGCCAGTGTCTTTAACCGTTCCTCTCACTGGAGCCATGCTAGAATTGCTTGCGATTCTGCGTGATCGCTTCTGTGGCCTCCATTCCGAATTTGACAGCGATATGGTAATTTATGGAAGTTCGGCAAACAGCAAAGAGCACTCACTGCTGAATACGGAAGCATTGCCCGAAACACAAATGCCGGATGATACACATACCCCATTGTATGTTCAAAACAAAGATGTATTGGGTGTTCAAAACACGACGTTAGAGGAGGTCCAAATTGTGAATATCACGGAAGCATTGCCCGAAACACAAATGCCGGATGATACACATACCCCATTGTATGTTCAAAACAAAGATGTATTGGGTGTTCAAAACACGACGTTAGAGGAGGTCCAAATTGTGAATATCACAGGTACAAATATACATATGTTTGTAGGAGCATACATACGTACATGTACATATTATATTAATTGGATCGAGTAATTTCAGTAATTCGTTTCTTCTACAGCGAAGCCGTCATCGACCATATTGACTCCCAGCTGTAACTTCTCCAGTCCTTTAATCGTCTCCACCAGCTCGCCGTTGCCCAAGGAAGCATCGGCAGTAGAACCGCGACAATATTTTGCAACAGTTGCACAACAGCGGCAAGCACGGAAACGCAGATTCCGTGACCCAAATAATGCCGAAAATGAAATGCGCCAGCAGCTTATAAATCTTGAATTAACGCAGTCACGCGAACTCCACGCAACAAACATGCGCCATGCCATCGAGTTACATACTGCTAATATGGAAGCGGTTATGCTACAAAAAACTGCTCAGAAGCAAGTAATGCAATACTTCGCTAAGCGGGAACAAGAAGCGCAGGAGCGTCACAACCTATACTTAAAGACGCACAAACCGATGAATGCACAAGAATCTGAAAAAATCGTCCAGGAGGAGCTTGAAGTTTCGAGCTTTTATGACGACATAAAACATTCAGTATAGTTTCGCGCAACAGGGTGTTATTTATTTTTTTTTTTTATAAGTACAGGTTTTATTTAACTAGTTTTTCTTGTTTAATGTTTTTAAAACAAAAATATGTTATTCATTGCAAAAAATAAATGAATTAAATGAAATTATCCTCCCTTTTCTAATCAAGGCAAGTGATTGGTGTGTGTGTTCACTTGGCGACGAAACATATCGAGGAGTTCGTTGCGTACATTCCTGCCATAGTTACTATTTGGAGTATCTTCTGTCGCACCACTGTTGATCTCTATTTCGTTGCTCGTGAAGCCAGGTGGTGTGTTGGGTAATTGCTCATTCTCATCAAAACAGATGTTGTGGAGTACTGCAGCGGTCGCAACAAGCATTTGTGCAGTCGATGTTTTGACACGCAAACCATAGGCCAATGCTGGAAAGCGTCGCTTCAGCACTCCATATGAGCGTTCCACGCAATTCCTGGTGGCGATAATTGCCCGCTGATATTCCTGTACGTGTTGTAATCCAGCGCGAAGCTCAGAACTATTTTCTGCGAATGGCGTTGCCAGGAAGGGAGAATTGGCATAGCCGGGATCACCGACTAAAATGTAGTGGCGAAATTCGCCCGCTTCGAATTGCTGCCATAGTGCACTCGACCGAAATATAGTCGAGTCGTGTGCCGAACCCTGCCATCGTGTAACAATGTTCATGATTTTGAGATTAGCTGCTGCAACGGTTTGTACATTCAAAGAAAAATATCCCTTCCTGTTTCGGAATATTTCCGCGTTTGGGCCTCCCGGTGACTGAATTTTTATGTGTGTACAGTCAATGGCTCCAATGACTCTTGGCAAATTTCCAAACATGTAGAAAAGGGCAGCCGCCGTTTTTAGTTCCTCCTGTGTCCGCGGCATTCTAACTATGTCAGGCAGTAGTCCGAGAACTGCTTAGCACACTTTTGGCAACAAGTTGCTAATCGTAGGTTGGGAAACTCCTATAATATCACCAACGATAGACTGCATGCTACCAGCAGCCAAGAAACGCAATGTGCATAGTAGCTGCACTTCGTGTGAGATATAGCGTTGTCTGTAAAGGACAAATAAAAAATATTAAATCAGTATACATATGAACTCAATACAGCTTTTGATACCTTTGATGTACCTCTGGCATGTAAGGCACAATCAAGTGTAGCACGTGTACAAATCTTGCCTTTGTCATACGGAATCGAGAAAAAAAGTCAAAATCGTCCCACGAGTGCATTTTTCTTCGTTCTAGCATTATGTATGGTCGTCTATTGTTATGGTCTTCGTCGTAAATGCGTTGAGCACGGTCAATTCCGATCAGCACATTGGTTCGAGATGGGCGCGCCATTATATCACCTAAAATGGATAAAAAAAAGGATAATTACAAACTAAAAACAGTTTACATTTCTTACCTGTATGTATTTCTAAAGCAGATGTAAGTCAATAATGAATTTTGAACGAATAACATGGAATAACTGCCTTATTCGCTCGATTCTGCCCGCTTAGTTATTCCCCGGAATAACAATTCTGACTTTCTTATTACACCTTATTCCGTTTTATTCTATGCGTCAATAATACACTTATTCCAACTAATTCTCCTCTATTCCGTAAATATTCTTATTCCGGCAAATTCGGAGTGTCAATAATATGGCCGTTAGAATTTTCTATTTTTCCATTCGAATGCCATTCCGAAGGAATGTCACACAAAATTCCATACAAAAAAATCAATTTTCGATTTTTCCAATTTTGCGACTTTCCCGGAGGGGTTTCCCACAATTTTCTTTCGTAAAAACCTTCTTCTGGCAATTACGAACAACTAAAAAAAAATGTAAGCCAAATCGGTCCAACCGTCCTCAATTGATGAATCACTATACATTTTTCACACCATTTTTATATATATAGATATACGTATTTAATACATACATTCTTGCCACTGCTAATCACATGAATAAAAATTCTAAAAACGAAAATGTGACTGCAATATTTCTTGAATAACTCAGTGAGAGGGGAGATCAGTATGTTTGCATGTATGTATATAAAAAAATATTTATTGGACCAAAAAGTAGTGGGTAGGCACTGTGGCCAATGGTAATCAACTATTACCACCTCCGTATGGTTGTAAGCCATGCAGAGTCCGCAGAATGCTCCGGAAGCAGTGTCCGGAGGATGCATCCGACTAGGCAGAGCATACTTTGAACTGCCATCAAATTATAACTTAAGAAAGTTTTATTACATGGCAGTTGAGAAGTGCATGTACATAAATTACATTAATTTAATGAAGGAAATTGTTGCACATGCAGCAGTACATAGCATGCATTTAGGCGCCTGGTGTTAGCAGTCGCGTCTAAACATTTCTTGTTTGAAATGTTTTAGATCCATCGCACACCACGGACTTTAGTTGGGCTTGCTAGTCTTTCCATTGCACCACAACTAATTGGTCTGAGCGATTAAGTTGGTGTAGTGTGCGCACCTCCATACATCTTCATGTACATACATATTTGAAGCGAGCGCTACTATTTAAATAGGCGGCCGATAAATTCTGTGGTATGAGGTGGCTCTTATAGCTGCATTATTACATCTATTCCGTGTGTTGCAATATCCACGGAAGCAGCAGTTATGAAGAAAATTATTTAAAAATATTAGACAAATTCTCTACTTATATGTTTGGCTTTCCTTTGTTTTATTTTTCCAACGTCAAAAGCTGAACTTTTTTTTTGAAAAAGTTGGTACAACAAAAAATGTCTTAGTCGTCGTCGCGTGCGGACGTGTCTTTGTTTACTCTCCGTACAATAAGCTACAATCAGTGATTTTAGTGGCTACTAATCAATATTGACAGTGCTCGAAATAGCTGTGGCTGCTTAATTGTGTCTTTTGCCATGGCTAATTGCGTGACATGCAATTTAAAGTGCTTAGCCAACGAATACATTACGTGCGGTATATGTTGCTCATTAACGCATATAAAATGTTCCAAACTGAGTGCCAGTTGCATAAATGCAATCAATAGCAATCACAATGTGGTGTACAGGTGTGGTGTCTGTAATGATCGCATACTACCTCTTAGCCAGTCAAAAATCGATGGTGTCATGGACAATCTAAAACATATTAAAGATTTTATCAATTCGATTTCTAACATATATTCCAACAACAACGCTAAAGCTTCTAATAATAAAATTATAACAAGGTCTAAGGCCAAGGCCAATGAATCTAGCAGTGCTCGCAAAACTACCAATTTGCCAGCCAATAACAACGCTAAAGGCTCTCTAAGTAACTCTCCCTATCAACAGAGATCTACCACTCCGATCACTGTCTCTACAATTGTTGCTGATGCAGCTGCGGTGGCTTCTGATGCTGCTAATTCTCTCACCGGACCTCTCTCTTACGCTCAAACTGCTGCCGCTGCTGGAGCTGATGCTTTAGATCCCGCTCATCCTCTCCCATATGATTTAAACACTGCTGCTGCTTCAGTCGTCGATGGCGCAGATGTAGTCTCTCCACCTGCTTCTCATCTTACTAATTCTTCATCACGTGTTCCGAGCTCTGCAATACAGCGAAAGAGCAAACGAAATAATATTATCGTCGTTGGTGCAAACGCTAATTGCGAACTTGACGTTGCCGCTCGCTTTAAATGGTTACACCTCTCTTCTTTTAAGCCGTCGGTATCAGCAGAAGATGTCATAGCATACATTGCGAAGCATGCAAAGATCGACCAGAAGCTAATTTGTTGCTATAAACTAATCAAGAGAGATACTCAAATTGATTCGCTGAAAAGGGTGAATTTCAAATTAGGCATCTCTTCACCGTATTATGATAAATTGATGAATCCGGACTAATGGCCAGCCAATGTAAACGTACGTCCGTTCCAATTTTTTCAAAGAGCAGCGCCAGCAGAGAAAACGCTTTGACTGTGAATAAATCTCTTAATATTATTGCTGATGATCACATTGGTGAACCTACCAACAAGTATGCTGTATATTATCATAATGTGAGTGGAATGCGAACAAAATCTGCTCAGTTTCGTCGTGATATGTCTTTACACGACTACGACATTATTGCTTTATCCGAAACTTGGTTTCATGAGCACATATATTCATCTGAATTTTTCGGCGATAATTACCACGTTTATCGCTTAGATCGCTGCCCAACAACCACTGGCCTTTCTAGAGGAGGTGGAGTACTGTGGGCTGTGAAGGCCAATTTGTGTAGTAGTAATGTCTCTTTAAACTTATACTCTAACAGTATTGAACAATTATGTATTAAGGTAAAGTTTGCATTGAATCGCTTCATCTACTTTCTGTTATCCTACATTCCACCAGATAGCGCGTACGATATTTATGAAAAGCATTTAAATAATTTAACATTAATTTGTGATAATTTAAATCAAAATGACGAAGTGATATATCTTGGAGATTTTAATTTAGGAAATATTTCATGGTTGCCATACAATAATAACCTAATACCTTCTAACGTTAAATCTGAAATAGATTTACTGTTTGTAAGTACCTAATTTTCGTATGGCCTTAAGCAGATTAATTCAATTCAGAATGATAACAATCGAATATTGGACTTAGTTTTTATCTCTGCCGATCTGAATTCATCTTGCCAACAATGCCAATTACCTATTTTAGGTAATAGCCAGCACCATAAAGCGCTCTTCATAAATTTTGAATTTTATACATTCGATAAACTTCTGTCGATCAATACTTTGGAACGTAATTATTCCAAAGCTGATGTCATAAAGATAAGCGAATACTTAGATAATGCAGACTGGTCATTTTTGGACTCTTTCGATGATCCTACAATATCGTATGGTATTTTATGTGACAAATTGAAATCAATAATCTCTCGCTTTGTCCCTTTGCGGAAATTGAGAACCCATAATAAACCACCCTGGTTTAACCCAAGGCTCTGTCATCTTAAAAATTTAAAAAATAAAGCATATAAAAGATTTAAAAGAACTAATAGCATACACGATCGAGACAACTTACTCCGATTGAAAAGGGAATTCAACTGTCTTCACGACTACCTGTTTAAACATTATACGTTCA